AAGATAATTGCAAAAGCTGATGTGGCACAATTGAAAGTGTAAATGGATTGCAGGGATGTGGATGGTCTTAGAACCACTTAACTAATTACTCTTACTAATTTTTGTCCTATGTCCACAGCTTAACCAAATGATCTTACCTAAAGAGGGTTCTATAGGTGATGAGCAATTAATAATCATGTACATGGTTGTTTACATTAATTTTTTTTCACCGCTGAAGAATATACATTTGTACAGGTTGCGATGATTACTGTCAAATGAACTCAAATTCGACTTAAATCAATGAAAACAATATAGTACCTTCAAATTCATTACTCAACGATGCAACATCATCATCATCAAAATCTTCAGAAACTCCGTCAGTAATCGTGACACTATACTCAGGTATAGTTTCATTTCGACGGCTGCAACCATCCTCATCCCTTGCTGAATAATTGCATTGATCTTGGATTGTATTATCATTATCTGCACTTGCAATTTCACCAACAGTATCAAAACCTTTGCAGTTACCGTTGATGGCACTGATTTCATCAAAAATATCCTTAACGAATGTCTCATTGAAGGAGATAGAATCCATAAGAGTATGAGAAGTTGTTTCAATAGTTCATCCTTCATCGAGTCCATCCAGGTTTGATTTTGTAAATTATATAGAAGTTTTATAATTTCCATAATGGTTTCAATTATTGATAGGAAGTAGAAGGATTCACCATAAATAGGATATATATTATTATTAATTAAAAATAATAATAATTATGTAAAATTAGTAAAGGACAATATTAACCTTTTCATTTAAAAAATAATTAAAAAAAGTTATTCATTGATTGGTCAAAAAAAGTTGTAATGGTTGTACAAATACACAAGGTTGTATTTAAAATATACTCTACACACACAAACACACACACACACACACATATATATATATATATATGTGTGTGTGTGTGTGTGTGTATCTAGAGAGAGACGAGAGATCTTTTACAAACCTAACTATTAATACAAGGGAAAATGACCATATTATACAACCCACTTACACAAAATAACCACTTTCTAGAGCTTTTGCAAAAATAACCCCCCAAATCGCCCCTTGGGGCGATCTACCCCCGAGGGCGAGCCACGTCATCCCATCGCCCCTCGGGGGTGATCCGGCCCTTAGTATTTTTTTTATTTTTTTTGTAATACCAATTTCACTATAAATACTAACCTCCTATTTCATAATTTTTCACACCTTCCCTTTCATTTCTCTTCTCATATATTCTACTCTCACAACCCTTAACCCTTCAACACAATAAACCATCACAACCTTTAACCCATTAAACACAATCAATCATCACTAAACATGAAATCACGTCAAAGTGATGATGTTTGTGTATCTTCGAAGTGGCGGTTTATTCCAAGATATAAATGGTCTTGTAGAGTACCTTCCGATAACCTCCCCCACATGTGCAATACGTTTGTCTTCGCCAATAACTTATTCAGGGGTCGTTAAACATGTGACGAAAAAGTTAAGTTTACGTGGTCCTTTCAATTTATATTTTAAAACGAATATATTATATCAGTTTATGGACGACAATGATGTGGTAATCCTCCACAACACCATTCGCCAAACTTTACTAGAAATGTTGACACTATATGTGGTCGACAATGGAGGTTATGGAGGAAATCCATCAAGTGCAAACCTAGGTGGTCCAAACACTTTTCACCTTGGTGCTGTGAGCACACTCTTCCCCGACACTAGCGGTTCAAACCCGTATGGTCCAAGCACACTCTTCCCTACCGATTGTGCTCCTGGTGTAAATCAGAGCACTTTATTCCCTAGTGGTGGCAGTGGTGAAAATCCAAGCACCTTCTTCCCTTATGATGACGTTGGAAATTCATATTTTGAACAAAAAGTTACCATTGAACCTGATAGTTATTTTGTTCAAGACTTGAACATGCCTCCTATGCAGTCCCCCAACCCGTACCCGATTCGGTCTCCCGAACAGTCAAAACCGTTGTGGGAGCTAGATATGGCCGAAGATGTTTCTGTTGCTGCCGAAATTTTGAACATACCCGAAGACGACGATAACTCCGGTTCTGAAGAAATCAAGCCGGTAAGGAATAGTTTTTGGTGTATGCCCGACCCAACACCTTGTCCGGATCCAGTTATCAAAAGTAGACAGGGAAACATTTCCTACCAGCCTACATCCCATGTCAAAGTTCTCCAAACCTTTGACTCGAAGGAAGCACTTATGCTCGCAATGGGATTAAAGTGCGTTCATGAAAACTTTCAGATGAAAGTAAAGAAATCTTCCAAACACCTGTACGAGGTGTTGTGTCACTCAGATTCGGACTGTGATTGGTGTTTAATGGATGTCTCCATCAATGGTACCAGTATATTTCTTGTACGAAAGCTCCATGATGAACACATATGTTCAAGGTCCCAAGTGCAACCAAACCACCGTAATGCGAATAAAAAGGTTTTGGGTCATATATTGGCAGGGAGTTTAAAGGATTGTAAGAGAG